AAAAAAAACGAAAATTTTAGTTAGACCGACGTACCTTTAAGCATCGCGTGAACAATTTTGTCATGTGCCCTCATATTTGTTTCATATAACACATTCCACGAAGGATAGTTGAGATTTACAGAATTATTGATCCATTGACCACATGCATAATCGTAAAAATCGATACATGGATCCACTGATGGATTCATTTTGGATAGAAGACGAGCAGCTGTTCGGACACATCGTTGTGTTGTGCATTCTGAATGTGAATCACTAAATTCTGAGATGGCTGGAATACCTAACAATCCATTTCTGGCCTTATTTAGACAATCGATGAAACGGGAATTATTGGATAAAATGAATTTATTCTAAGCTCCTTATTTGGCATGCAAACGAAGGTAAAATACCTTGAAAATCATCAATTTTTTCATCCTAGTACTAAGACTTTTTGTAAAATATTTGTTTATTTGTTTACTGCATCGACCCCGAAGACAAGCATAGAGTGCAAAAAAAAACAAAAAATCCATATCAAATAAAAATAAATACAATGAACCAAAAATTCAGCTCAGAAATAATCCAGGAAGTACATTAAATCTAATAGGCTAACTGATAAATATGTAGCTATTTCTTGTCCGGTTAGGTAAAAAAAAATTGAAAATACGGAAAAAAGTGATTGTATGCACAGAGGAATGGCTTTTGCTCCAGGAAAAAATGCATGTGCTCAACGAAAATTCTATCTTTAAAATAAAAAATGGAAAAAATTCGTCCCAATGAAGATTATCGACAACAGGTTTATTCAATTGCATGCATACTATGATATTTCGATGCAAAATTAATTTAATATTAACGCTCCTATCCAAAATCTGACCGATAACTATAACATTTCAAGCTTCGGTCATCGAATGTGGCGGTCGATTGAAAAACTTTGGTACGGAACGGGATGGAACTCGATTTAGTGGAATTTTCGACAGGTTATCCCTCCTTCAAGTGTACCATCACATGGAAAAGAACACTTGAATTGTACAAAAATATCATTTAATATCTCTAGGAATTACAGTTTCCTCTCTGTGGGCGATTCTAGCAAGTATCATGGAGTAGATAAACTTAAAATAACTTTCTGTGAATATTTTGAGGTAAAAGTACCGTCCTATGTAGCAATATCGAAAGAAATTCAAAAGTATCATTCACTATCTCTAAAATTTACAATTCGTCCCATCATTGGGGAAAGCTTACATTTAACAGGTCGTAGATGAACTAGTGATTACCTTCTGAGAAGATTTCAAACGCCATTGGGATACTGTATTGTAAAAATAAGACCGTCAGAAGGTACGGTAGCCGGCAGGCCATGCTGACGCAGAGATTCTCCAAGTCACCCAGCCGGACTCGCTTGAGTTCGATAGGCGGCGTCAACGTTGACGTGAAGCAGCATGTACTCACTCACGTCAATGAATACACAACATATTTCGAAGGAGGGAAATAATCGCGACGTGACTTATGAGCTCACTTTATCAGCCACACGACACTAAGCCTACGCACGATGTGATTTAGTGCCCAGTTAAAGTGGGCAAGCACAGCAGCAGTCACCATAAGCAGCTTGACGTTCTCATCAAACTACATAAGCCGTCTGAGATACGATTCCCTGATAACTCCAACTTCATTTATGTCATTTTGATGGAGACTAAGGAAGAAAGTACAATTTGGGCAACGAGGTTTATTAGGGCAAAGAAGTAAGGAGGGACTCGATCCGGCTACGACCTTGGGATAAGATTCTGGCACATTTGGCCTAAGACCAGGAGCTTTCTCTGGTTTCTTCACATTCATCGCAAAAGATGAAGTAGAGCATTGCCTGGTTGTTCCCCTCTGCTAGTATGGGAGGTGACGAAAGTGCACAGGTGCTGTAAACATCGATGCAGAGTCCGGACCCCATTTAAGGTCTGCTTCGACGTCAGAACCCTTTCAGCAATAGGACGGGATATCCTAAAATATAAGCCTTCGATCAGCAGTCAAAGAAACTTGCATTGGTAGCTCCTGGGAGAGCCACAATTTAATCCATTTTCTGGAAGTTTTCGACCCAAGTTTACTGCTACTTAGTTTTTTTGCTCATTTCTATTTTTATTATTTGTTTATCTAATAGTAAAGAGTAGCTTATAAAAAGTCGTTCATTGAAAGTTTAGCAAAGCTGTACGTGCAAAATTTTGACCCACGCCCAGGTCCTTCCCGTGCTATCGTTAGACTAGTCCTCTGCTCGTTGAGAAAAAAAAATCAAATT